TGGGACTGGCATCCATACAGAAGAGCTCGCCACACCAGCCAACACGAAGGTCGGTCTGAAGCAAAGGGCCGATGCAAGAAACCGCCAGCAACTCATTCAAAGTGCGGCGCGAAAGTCGCACAACCACATCGCAGGGATGCCTGGCGGCATCTTTGAAGCACTGGTCCAAAATGCAAAGCGCAGGCCTCCGGTACATCAGCACATGAATCCAGCAGCCAACGAGGACGTTCAAGAGCTTAGGTGCGCAGGCACCACGCCGGACAACTTCAGAAGTGCAAAGCATCAGCAGCAAAGTCCGCTCGCGGGGGGCGGAAACAAGGCCCTTCACACCATCAATGTCCGCGCCCAGGAGGGTAGCTTGATGCAAATTGCGTTGACACTTCTTCGGATGTGGGTGCAAGCCAACGGCGGCATAAGCAACATGAGACTGCTCGAAGACACGAGTGTCTCGGGCTGGATCCTTCCGTAGTGCCGCTGCTCGACTCAAGATCTGGACTGACACATGATCATCTATGCAAAGGAATTCCCTGAAAGCGGTCCTTGGAAAAGGACGGCGAAAGGCTACAACCTCCGTAGGTAGAAGGCATCCGCCCATGGTCCTAAGGACCTCGTAGTGGCTCTGCTGGGCTAATTCCACCGCGTGGCAGTCGCCCATAGCCAAGCAAGCCAGAGCTATCACGCAAGAACCCCAATGCTTATTTCGATCAAACGCGGCCAGATGACTCAGCTCAGTAGCGGCGAAAGGCATGGCCACTGAATTTCTCTTTGCCCTCTGCTCTGACACTGATACTGTGTAATAAAATTCGGCTAGGTCGTCGGCGCAAAAACGAGCAACACAGTCGCGAGGAATATGCAGCGAGCAAAGCTGAGCACCATGGCCTAGAGACTTCGTGTAATGGTTCAAGCCCTGCACTCTAGAGTTAGCCACAACCGGATTGAGGATAAGTCGGTCCCAGTCGCTGTCCTTTCCAACACAGAACAAACCTACACATTCTTTAGGATCCTCGAGTCCCGCAACCCTGAAGATTCTGAGAGCACCGACGCTATCCCACAGCTTGACAAGCTTAAGCACCTCGTGTTTTGTACCATGCACCTTTGCACGTGGAATCGAGGGCCAAAGGGACCGCGGAATGCGCAGTGTATTCGGATCTTCAAAGGTTTTGCGGGCAATCGGGTCAGTGAGAAAAGGACGGGCATCAAAGGATGGGGAATACTTCCATTTGATCCTATCAGCCTTTACAGGTTTGCAGTTTAGGGAGTCAAGTGGGAGCCGGGCATCCAACGGGGCTGTGCTAGCTCTGGTTGTTGGCCTTGCGGGGCTTTCAGACTCATGTGCAGACGCACCAAGGTCCCAAGGCTGGCGCATCTTCTGAGGACGACTGTACGGTGCAAACGCGACATGCAACTCATGCAAAACAGCACTCAAGTCCACCTCCGGATTCAAAGCCGGCAGTTCTCGAATGAATTTAGCAATGCCAGAGAACTTTTCACTGCTGCGGCCAAGACTGTCGGGCCCGAAGGCCGGTGTCTTGAGAAAGTGGACCACCAACTTCAAAAGGCGATCCTGGATCGAGCTTTGCTCTGATGACAAAGGGCACCCCACACAGGCTTCAGGTGGGGGCTTGCGCGGGTACCCAAGCAGCAGCCAGTTCAAGGAAGCAATGATAACACGAAGCAAAGCGAAGGCTGTGCAATACAGCTTGGATCGTTTGCGCCGCTTGGCTCCCGGCTTTGCAGCGCCAGACCAACACCGCCAAGTAGGCGGGGGCACTGGCCACGGATCACGAGCAGCTCCGGCTCGCTCATATGCGGTGCAGGAAGAGGGCTTTAGAGACCTAGAGATGTACGTGCTCAGGCAGGTTGAGCTGCGCGAACAAATCCCAAGGAAACCCCAAACCCAAGACTGAAAATCATGCAAAACACCCGAATCAAAATGAAGCCCGCTAAACTGCTTTAGAGGAAGCTGAGGCAAACGATAACGTGAAGGCGAAGGCTGGGCGGGTTTAGCACTAGCGCTCGACCTAGCACCGGCCTGGGGTGCCGAATCACGCCTACAAGGCGAGGCCCGGCTTTGCATCCCCTGTGACTCCACTGCAAAATTGCGAGCAACCGGTCTCCGACTGGCTGCCCTCGCGGGGCCGCTCCTGGGCGCCCGCGGAACATCTCGACATCACGCGGCATCGCTTGGGCCCGCTTTCCTTTTGACCTTCGCTTTCCACTTTGGCTGGGGCTTCTCCGGTGGATCCTCCTTTGGCTCGCCTTGGCCCCGATCGGGCGGCTGCGGCTTCTGCTCGCGGGCTGCCTTGAGGCGAGACTCCAAGTAGTCCAAGTCGCGAAGGAAAGCCAGGTTTGCTGCACACCATGCAGGCTTCGCCAGTTTCGAGAACGGGCGAAGTGAGTGGTGCTTGCGACTCTGGGAGAAGGCTGCAAAGTTCGGCTCCGGGAGCCCTCCCAACAACCACCCCACTTGGGCTCTGCCCCCGTCCAGGACCATCTGCTCGATCATCATAGCACCCTTCCCGCAAAAAGCTTCTAGCTCCACATTGCTGCTCTCGCGGGACATCTGCCACCCGAAGGCGAAGTAGGTGGCCATGTAAGCGAGCGTCTTGTGATCCGCAAGCCCCACTCTTTTGTCCAGGAATTCCCGGAGCAAGCCCGGGGGGGCAGAAGCCAACGGAACTCCAAGTTCCGCACACGCGTTGGCACGGATCGCCCGAGCGACTTCTGCCCTCGGACCCCACTGCTGGAGCTGCCGCTGTCGCTGCCCCCGGCGCCTTGCAGAGCACTGGTCAGAGGATCTTGAAGCTTCGGAGCCAAGCGCTGCAGCAGCAACGTCTGGGTGGCAAGAAGGCGTTGCATCGGATCTGTCGCACTGTTCGTCAGGTCCTCCAGCTCGTCTTCCTCCAAACCCACCCCCGCTGCCATTTGGGCCAAGGCGTCGGCGACCGGCTCGCGAGCAGTCTGTGCCACAGTCTCGGCGCGCCCCAAGCGCGCAGGAGCAGGCCCCGCTAGGGCCTGGAGCCGCTCCCAATCTGCAGATGCCAAGCCGGGGCTGCCTGACGCCTGGAAAAGAGAGCGGGCTCTTCCCGGACCCGCCGCAACTGCCGGAGCATCTCGAACCAGTGGCACCGTGGTTTGAGGCCGATGGTCTGCGGCTTGGACGCCCATGGACTGCTCCAGGGTGCGCAGCCGCTCCCGCAAGCCAGCAAGCATCGTCTCCGGATCCTCGGCCTCGGCCTCCTCCTCTGCCTCGAGTGGTTGCCCGTCGACCTCCTCGGCGGTAAAGTACTCCAGCAGCGCATCGTCCTCGTCGAGCTCGCTTAACAAGGTAGTGAAGGCGTCCCGGGTGCCACCAGCGATGGGTCTCACAGCCAGGCCGTCCGAAGTGACGAAAGAAGTGACCTGCCCTTGGCTGAGTCTGATGCCTCCTGCTCGCCGAAAGCCATGTAGCGCACCCCAGGGCAGATCGGCGAAAAGCCCGTTGAGAACGCCAGTCGGTCGTCTTCGCGTCGTCTCGGTAGGCACTTCGCGCTCGGCAATAAAAACCATAGGCTCGCCCTCCTCGTTCAAGAACCGCTGCAAAGCCGAAGTTACATGGGGATCGGCCGGGCAGACGATGGCAAAGCCTCCTGGCCGAACACGTAGAAGGTACACCACAGCCCTCCAGTCGGGGGTCTCGCCAGTGAGAAGAAACGAAGGCAAAGTTGTCCGTGGAGCATCGGCCTCCAAGAGGGCCCGGACATCGCCCTCCAGGAGAGGGCTCCTGCTCAAAGCTCGCTGGGCCATCCTCGGCCCGCACCGGCCAAGAAGGCGGTAACCTCAGCCTGCGCCGCAAAGGCGTGGGAGATAGAGCGTGGGCAGAACCGTTCACCGGCGCTGCCTTGGATCTCGCGGAAATATGTGGAAGCAGATTGGGTGTAGAAGCCGCCTGGCTTCTTGCTGCAAACCAAGCAAATGTAATGCCTGTTCCTCAAGCCCGGGATCACAGGTGAAGCGTCCTGGAAAAAGGTGCCCCGAGCCAGCAACTCACGAGCACTGACTCCAGCACGATACGCCCGGGCAATCCGAGCCCTAGCAGTCCAGCCTGGCACGGCACTCACCGACCTAGCAAGTGCAGCGAGGTGACCCAAGTCGATGACCTCCAGCTGTTCAGCGGTAGTGGCCTCGAGGATGACGCGAGTAGAAGGGCTGTTGCTCCTGTCCGGGTTCGGACCAGCAAGGGGTACTCCGGCACGTGCAGGCTCCCCAATAACGGAGAAACTTCGCGAGGTAGAACTAGAAGGGGCAGGTGAAGCTTCGCGAGCAGTCACTGTAGGCCGTCGGCTTGGACTGAACCTCAAGGATATGGTACAATCCCGCAGCTGCAGAGTGAGTTCCTCGATGTCAGCTTGAGAGTCGCGAGGTGGACTTTGCATATAACTCAATCCGTAGTGTACTCCCTGAGCCGGCGCAAATGTTCAGCGCGTCGCAAAGGGTGCGGGCTGCCCGCCTGAGGACCTTGCAACCAAAGGCCAAGGGCCCGTAAGGTGCGCCCCACAAGGGCGCGGCAGCTATCGGAAATCAGCAGCCCTGTTGCCAAAGCACCACACAAACACCCGATGCAGCAGGCTAAAACCAAAGCCAGCAAGAGCAGAGGGAGGTACCACGGAGTGCTATGGCTCGAGGTAGCGAAGAGCCTAAGTTCCTGAAGGACTGGTGGCAGCAGGGTAAGCCACATTCAGCCGAAATGTTCTTGAGGGTTCGCAGTCATGCTTGTTTGCAAGTGCTAGTCTGCATATCATCATAGCAATAATGTCCTCATCCTCATCATCACCATCACCACCATCATCCTCAGAGTCGGCACAACCACCATGTGCATCCCTCCTGTTCCTAGTACTCCCTGCTCCTCCTCCCACTTCTCGCACTCCTCTTCCGCCTCTTCAGGCTCCGTCAAAAATGCGCCCCATGGTCGTTCGCTTCATCCTCTTTCCCTTGCTCACGACTGCCCAGCTGCTGCAAACTCATCCTGCATGCAACTCAAACCTACCTGCAGCTCAGAGATCTCGAAATGATCGACAGCACCGTGCTCACGGACAGCGCTCTTGTACTGTATTGTCCTACTTTTCTTACTACTGCAGCTCCTGTTGCCACATCACAATCACAATGCAACTGCTGCAAATACCACTACCGAATACTACCGAATATGAGAGTGTTTAGCAGACGTATCCAGTCTTCAGTCTCCTGAAGCTCTGGCTCGTGTTCTGCGCAATGATTGGATTGGGCATGACTCTTCGGGAACCTTTGCCTTGGCACTGCGACGCATCGAACATCTCTGCATCCTCCACCGCGAGTGTCCCACAAGGCTCCAGCTTTGTGCAACCTGCCCATTCCACAGGAATTCCATGTCATTCCCGTAAACCTGCTACATGTGCCTATAGTTCGCCATCTGCATACCACCACGAACATGCTTGAAGTTTGCGCTGCGACTTCTACCATGACCATACCTTGCTGTCGGAGTGAACCTGCAGTCCAGTACTGAAGGGTGACAACTATACGCCAACCGAGACCGGACTCACCACACAGATTCCGAACTTCGTTCCTGTCAGAGGTCGGAGCTGGCGCAGCTAGCTGACAGAACTACATTGCCAGGCCTGTTAGGTTGAGCACCGCCGTGCAGTTGGGAACAAACTCAAGGGGATAGGTCACCTCACACTCCGTGGATGCGTTGCCGACGAAACCTTCGGCACAGACCTTGGATAGTTTCCAGGGGGTCGTTGGATGAACTCACATGGCGCCGATGTCTTCCACAATACAACCCTGTCATATTTCGATATATTTCGAGCCAAACCGCCCAGCCCTCCTCTGGATCCTTCTCGTACTCCACCGGTATTGGCTCCGGCTCGATGCACTTGGGCTTGCAGCTCAGGTCCTCGGGACGGCTGCGACTCGTATGCCGAGAACGACAGCGGCAAGAAAGCCGTCCGACTCGGTTCATCTGAGCGACAAAGATCAAAGGCTGCATGGGGTCAGTATTCCCCTCTGGACAGATCGCAACCGCCGAATCCGGTTCGTAGACGCCTTCAGGCGCACGGCAACGAACTCCAAGTCGGCTCAGGGTGGCTAAAGTAAGCCCTACACCCTACACCCGAACCCAGGGTCGGTTCAGGCTCCGCCTTCGGGGCAGCGCACAACACAGCTGCCTCCTGCAAAAACGCTCGCCTGAGCCCACAAGTTGCCGCATCAAACAGGCAGGGTGCTCTGTCACCAAATGCTGTCCCAGCGGCGCAGTCAGAGGTGTCCAAAAGGCAAGGATGATCCTGCACGCACAATGGGGTTGCAGGCTTTGCAAACGTGATTGCAGTGATCTCAAAGCCAGAAAAACAAACTCATTGGTGCCGCTGTATTCCGGTGCCAGTGTATGCAGCCTCGTGATTTTTGTCGGCCGGATGCCCAGCCTTGATCTGAGTTTAGAAGCGAAGTTAGTAGGCAGGTGGTGGAAAAACACGCTCCTGGCATCGATACTGCCTTGTCGGAATCTCAAAGCCCTGTCTTTTGACAAACCCTCTGAAGCGTCGCGCCTGGGCAGGAAGGCAAGGCTGCAGCGGCAAGCAGCCGGACAGCTGCAGCACCTTTGGAGACCCGATCCTTCTTTGGGTTCAAGGTTTCGGGTTTAGGGCTTAAACTTTAGGGTTTAGGTTTTAAGGTTTAGGGTTGAAGGTTTAGGGTTTAGGGGGAAACTCCTCCCGGAAACCCAACCTCACCACAGTCTGCTCGATCAGCGCGTGCAAGGCCGTTATACCCCGGCGCACAGCCCCAGCCTGCAGTGAGTGCAAGAGTTCAGCCGGAAACGTGCTGCTGAATCTTCATCGTGCATCGTGAAGCTTACCGCACGCAGAATCATAAGTTGTTGCAATGCTGAAAATTGAGGGATTGCATTTGAAATCAACTCAGATGCCAGGCCTGCTGCTGTCCGCATGTAGCCAGGTGGATAAGGATCGCATTCTGCTTGGCAGATTGGCGCAGTGAATTCCAGCTCCCTCAGCTGCACTTTGTCTGTCGCGGCAGCTAGACGTACATAAAGTAAAATAAATTATGCGAAAGGAGAATGTCGTACTTCTGACATGGTATATACTCCGTATCGTATCTTGAATAGTACGTTATATAGCATATTATATAGCATATTATATAGTATATTATATACTACATCATATAGTATATTATATAGTATATTATGTAGTATATGACATAGTATATTATATAGTACATCATATAGTACATTATACAGTATATTATGGAGCTTGAGTCCCCGCCTCATGGGATCGATATTGTCGGGGGTGCAGGTCGCCGTGGTGCTGCTGCCTTCGTAGGGCGCCCGGCACGTCACCTCGCAGCTGAGGCCCGGCTCCACGGCCTTGGCTCACACAGCCGTACTTAAAGGACCATGGGACTTAGTGACTAAGGTTATAATTAGGGTAACTCTACTTATAACTGCTTATAACCACAATTAAGGGACTTGTAACCTTACTTACTAAGTCCCATAATCCTCCAAGTATGTATTGTGATCTGATAGTAACAGAACGGAGTACATTTATGATGTAAAGCATCCCAAGGAGGGGGGATGCTATGGGATAATCCGGGATGGGCTTGAGAATGGCTCCGGTGTTCGAAACGCTCTGTGCCTATGCATCTCCTTGTCTCCGGACGAGGCCTAAAGTACCGAGCCGGAGCCTTGCCGCCCTGGTGCTTCGCAAGGAGTCAAGTCCATCTTGCAGTTCTCACCGTCACCCACGGCGAGCCTTGGCACAGCTTCGATTGTGCCTTGCCTGTTCTTGTGCCCGATGTGTACTTCTTGCCTGCGCACAGACCATGTTCCGAACTCGGGCTCAAAAGAACTATGTGCAAGGTCAACCTGGTCTGCCTCCAGGCAACGGCATGCAGGGCAACTTTCGCCTGCAGCCATCAAAAAGTACCTTCGCAGCGAGCTCGCAGAGCAGATTGCATGTACCTGTAGACCGTGCCTGTAGACTGCGCACATGACGAGTCCATCGACAGCTGCAGCTTTCTGTGAAGCATCGCGGCAAGGCCTTCTGACCTATTTCCTCCATGGACAGATGGATGTAAACCCAGCCCTTCCCATCGTCGCCTGGAAAGAGCAGTTCGAAAAATGCAGGCAGGTTCGGTTGACTTCGCCAACCCAGCCATCATCACATCGCCATTGCGACTCACTGCCTCAAGAACACAAAAATGGGAGTTTCCGAAAATTAGGGGTACCTTATTCCGGGGGCCTTTTAATAAGGATCCTACTATTTTGGATGAAATATTAGGGTCCCCTATTTTCGGAAAACCCCAAGTCTTCTGTGGAAGAAGCTTCCCAGGGTCTTGCATCTGTTTGGCACTAGATTGCTTCCCTAGACCCTAAACCCTAACCGATTGAAAACCTTAGCTTCGCCGGCCAAGGTTCTCCCAGGAAGATCTTCTCGCCGATAGCCCTCCGGCAAGGTTGCCGGATCTGGACACGCCATGATACACCGTGGCAGCTCGTCGAAAAGAAGCTCTTGGAAGGGGTTCACGTTCAATCCAGGGCATCCTGAGACATCTAGCACTGTCCGGTTGAACCATCACAGATTCCAAAAAAAACGATGGCAAGACAGGCTTTGGACTACCAAGCTTGCTGCTGCCCAGCATCGAGCAAAACGTGGGATGCCGCCGTCAATAAAGGGCGGAAGGCAGTTCATCTGACATCGCTCTCCGGGAAGCACGCCTGCGCGAGCTCCCTACAACTACATGACTGGCGATGTAAAGCAACAGGCGATGTGAATGCTCCGCTACGGTGCAGACAGGAGCCTTTTTTCAACACGATGGCCCCTTGCCACCGGGTGCATGCAAAGACCATAAACAAACCTGCACATATACATGCATGTGTATAGATTACATGTACATATACATTTACATCTACATTTAAATAAGTGAATGTACATATATGCGCATTTTAAACCATTCCATATTCACATATGCATACATGTACAACTGCATACTACATGACTTTTGCTTTTAAACACCAGTAGACTTGCAAATAGGCGAACCCGTGTCGACAGGAATGAGCTCGGATGGCATCAACATGCTGCTGGGTGACGGGATAGCCAGATTCACTGTCACGAAGCCACACATGTGTATACATGTCTAAAACGTAAGCTGCAGCATCGCATCCAATAGGCACCCGAAGAATGACAAGGAATGAAGCTAGTTTCGGATCTAAGGCTCATGAAATCCCAGGCAAGTCTTCTTAGTCCCTGAGGTTGATGATCTAAACGGTAAGACAACAACATTTGCGTGCTGCGATGTGACAATCGAATAGCAGGTGCACAGATGTTTGTCTCTATCTCCCTCTGTCTGTATCTAACTGTAAATATTTGTTTTTACATGCACATGTACATGTGTATATATATATATATACGGAGATGTTACAAGCCGACATGACCTTTATACATGCGCACACACACATATGTAAGTAAACATGCATACATACATACATACATAAAAACATACATGCATGTATGCATGCAGACATAAATATGTATCAAGCCGCTGCACATACTACAGATGAACGGGTCTATGTGCATGCGAATAAGCATGGATGCATGCATGTAGGTGTACATGCCTGTGTGGACAGATGTACGTGAGTACTGAGGCACTTCTATCTCTATGTGTATATACGTCAATCAGTCTGTGTGTCTGTCTGCCTGCCTGCCTGCCTGTCTGTCTGTCTGTCTGAGTGCCTGTGTATCTCTCTGTCTGTCTGTCTGTCTCTCTGTCTCTCTGTTCTCTGTCTGGAACCTTGGAAGTCCCCAAATCAGCAGAAAGTTTGGGGCGAGATCTTCAGGTCTTAACAATTCGGAAACCTAAGCAAACACCGTCTCGATGTAGCTCTTTTGGCAGCGTCTTATGCAGCTACAAATAAGAAAGAGTTACGATCAACCCGAACAATGCTTACAACATCTTCTGAATTCCAAACTGAAAAGTTGAATTTAGCAATGAACAAAAGCCTACAGTGTCCAAGCAATGTTCACAAACATCTAGTTGTCAGTGCCGGTACATATTTGCGCCTACAGTAAGGAATCAGGAATGCAGTACCGATCACGCTTTTTCCAAGCAAGCGTCAGTGTTGTAGAAGCGAAATAGAGTCAAAAGCAGGATTTAATCCGATCATATCTCCGTCTTTCTTCAGCATGCGGTTGCCTTTCAGGCACTTCCGACGTCGTCGTCTTTCCAGCGGTATTTTGACAATACTGAAGCCTTTCAGTCGTATTTCAGCAATACTGAAGCCTTTCAGGCCCTTGAAAACGGAAAATGATCGGAATTATCACTCCTTTCCTTCCGGGTGGAGTGGGTGGGTGAACTAGAACAGGCTTTCGAGCCGATACGTTACAGCATCAGATTCCTAACTCACGAAGACGCACATCAAGGAATCAGGAATGCAGTACCGATCACGCTTTTTCCAAGCAAGCGTCAGTGTTGTAGAAGCGAAATAGAGTCAAAAGCAGGATTTAATCCGATCATATCTCCGTCTTTCTTCAGCATGCGGTTGCCTTTCAGGCACTTCCGACGTCGTCGTCTTTCCAGCGGTATTTTTGACAATACTGAAGCCTTTCAGTCGTATTTCAGCAATACTGAAGCCTTTCAGGCCCTTGAAAACGGAAAATGATCGGAATTATCACTCCTTTCCACGACCCCTTTTCCTTCCAGCCTGCGTGCTGGGACCAAGCCTGTTCAACAGATTGTTCCAAAGAGTGTGGTACTCTCGTTGGGTCTTTGTCAAGGCGGACGGCATTCCAGTCAACAGGGCTATCGAATCTTGGATGTAAACCCGAGCCGTGCGCTCGGAGGCCTGCTGACAGACAGAGGAATAAGATTGGGTTTCAAGGAAGACTTGTGTAGCCCCCCCTCTGCGAAGGCTGTAGGGTTTGTACGGAAGCGCGTCTAGCCCCGTTGCCTCTAAACCCCTAGCAAACCAAGAGCGAAAGCTGGACGATGAGACATTGACAAGGAATGCATCTGGCTGGTGCACACTTTTCCACGCGCTTAACATCAGAGAGAGCTCCCGGCTTCTAAAGGAGATACTCTCGGTTCCTGCGTTGCGTGCTGCCATCTTGGTTTGACCTAAATGAATCACAACCAGGTCGCCTTTACATATGATGTGACGGTGCTTGACTTGCATCAACTCTCCCGTTCGCAGGAGCCCCTTGAACCCTACCGCTACAGCCAATGCCAACTCAGGCTGATGCGTCTGAAGCCAACCTGCCAGGACCGACAGAGTAAGGGGTGTGAAAGGGGGTGCTCGAGAAGGGATTTCAAAACGCTGCCAAGCTTTAATCAACCGCCAACTTTGCAAAAGACGCCGTTTGAGTTGAGGCTCAAAGTGCTGCAAGGATGAGAGGGCGTCCTGGGCTAGGTATCGGGACTCACCTTCTTCCCACAACTCTTCAATGAACATAGAGGCAAGACGGTCAACCGCGGCATAATGCGATGGAAAACGCAACCTGTGTGATCTAAGAAACTCAAAGAAAGCCTTTATAGCTTTCTCGTAGCGTTGTTTTGTTTGCGGCTGGATAACCAAATGCTGAAGCTTTCCAAGGTGTTGTCTGCGTGTTTTTCTTGCGTCCCGACTATTGCCTTCAACCACTAACCCCTTGACCATTTCCGCTTGTGACCGCGCCGTGACGGCGCATCAGCAGGGTTTTGGCCAGTATCAACATAGCCCAAGACGCAAGCATTCGCAGACACCAATAACCAAGCACTGATTTTTTTCATGACGGATCTCAATTTCCTGCTGAAGCTGCGCCCCTTGTTCACCACATGAAGCGAAACAAGGGAATCCACGAGGTGTAGAAATCGTTTGCGACGATTTCTCGCCCTCAGCACGCGCCACTTAATTGCCGTCAGCGCCGCACGAAGCTTCAAAGCATTTATATGTTCACGATCCCCGAAATGCGGTCGTTTCCACGCCCAGCTGCACGCCGTCTTCCACCGCCAGAGGTTTGAAGGTACTGAGGTGCGCAGCCTGTCGTATGATTTGACTGGCTCTGTTGATGACTGCAAGAGCACATCGCTGCCCTTTGTGCTCATCAGCGACCCGAGTTTGCGAACGAAATTTGCATCGTTCCCTGCAGCAAGCCTGCGATTTTGTTCTGACCAGGGGGGCCTGACTAAGAACTCGTTGAGTTGAAGCTTTGTGCCTGGTTGGCATTGATGTTGAATCTGTGTAGCTGTCATGTTGCTGCACAGGCCGCGGGGGCACAACAAATGCTTCAAAAGAAAAGCCAGAACCGGCACAGACCCTGAAATTCCAACCAGGCTCATTCTGCAATCTTCCCATCCTGCGGGGTCCTGTTTGCGATGCGCCTTAGCCCAACAGTGATGCGTATAGTCGAGAGGCAGGCCCATCATGGCCTCCCTCTCGTTGATGTTTGGGATCCGCCAACCGTGTTTGGGATGAATCAAACCATGTTGAAATCGATACTGGTATGGGGGGAATCTGCAACGATCACCCCTCCAGTATTCCAAATCCCGCATAGAGCATGACTCAAAACCTGTAGCTCTCGAATCCGGCTTGGCCTTCGGGTCCGAAATCGTGAACGCGGGCAGCTTCTGATCAGTACCTCCCGCCAACTCCCAACCAGGCATGAGGTAGGGTTTAGGAAGGCATGGAAGGAGGAATGAGATCCTCCCGAAGTCATCCGCATGAGCCGTGAGCGGCCTTTCAATCTCAACCCAATCTTCAGTCTGAACAACCCAATCAAACCAGAAAAATCTAGAGCGTCGGCAAGGAGCGATTCCTACGGAATCGATCTCGTAAGGAAGCACCCCTATGGCTCGTGTCACGCAACAACGCTCAGCATCCGACAACGATGAAGCACTTTCTATCAACAGGAAGGTCTCAGCCCAAGGGAAGTTGGTACGCACCAATGCCCGAATCCTTGAAACCTCGCGGTCAGTGGAAGAATGATTGCGGCAGGTTCCGTGACAATGTCGCGCAGTGATCAAAACAAGATGTGAACGGGAGTACTTGCATGCCCAACTTTTGACCATCTGCTCAGAAATATCCTGCACCGTGGAAACAAACTCCGTGGACCCGAATGAACTTTCCACTACTCGCCTCGCTGATGGATCTGCTTCCACAGCCACGTATCCTCCGACCTTTGCGCCCAACACATCCAAGGCCACACGACAGGCGCCAATCCCATCATCCAGGGAGATGACCAAAACTTGAAAATCATCCAATCCCGCACCGACATCACCACGAACGGACTTCCCTGAAGCCTGAAGTCCAAAGTGAGTCAACCCAGAGCTGAATGAGAGACCTCCTCCGGTTTCCGATGCATCGCTCGCGGTCACCACGGAGTCGTAAGGAGCACGGATATTCATGTATGACAGAGGAGCAAGTGCGACACAGGAAAACAGCTCAGTGTACACCCTGTCTGGTATTGGCTTCCAAAGGTTCATGTTGCCCTCAAAACTCGAAATGAAATGCCAGACCTCGTTCAAACAGCTCATCAAGCAACGCCTGTAGCTGAAGAGATAAACCAGACCTCCCGCCACCATTTGAATCCTCTTCAGCGAGGTACGTTTGCTTTGCAACAGATGCCAGGCTCCACGCAAGTAGCGAGCAACTTTATCATGTTTAGGGCTGACAGTTCCGGCAACGCCATCAATCAAACCTCCCTGCATTTCCGCAACCAAAGAAGACTTGACAGACTTCTTTTCATTTACCGGAATGTTCAGCGAATGGTACAAGCTTCGGAGCTTGGAAGCCGGCGCACTGAGATCCCCGCTCAAAGAGGCGCGCTGCCTCTCGATTGGACCTTTCCAACAAGTCAAAGTTGTCTAAGTAAACCCTGTAAAGAGTTGCGGAAAGCGGTAGGACTTGATCACGTCTTACTTCTGCCTCTCGGCTTATGCCCAAGTCATCAACAGCATGATTTACAATGTTCCTGTGAAGAGCCTGGGCAACTGAAACAGAATTTATGAAGCCCATCGGAAGGACTCTGCTTGTAAGCACGCAAGGACCTGACATTCCCTCGGGCCGTAAGTGATCTGGGATCTCCCTCCCGAAAGCTAGGAGAGGTCTCCAACAGTCCGGCAATCCTACAATATAGAACATTGCCTTGATGTCCTCAGACGAGACCAGGACGGTCTCTTCAGGAAAAATGTCTAGAGGCTGAAGTTGGGCCAGCGTCGGCAAAGTGTTCAGGTCGCCTACGATGGATTCGAACAGTTTCTTGATCGGCCTCAAATCCATTATCAACCTCAAGACGGGGATGCCCTCGACCTCCTCATTCTTAGGCACTCCGAATAAACCACCAAGGACGGGCTTCCCACTTACGTGTATCACTTGGTCGAGGGGAATGACATCGCAAATCCTTCGCTCAAGAAGCCCTTCTGCAACTGCCCCCCAATCCTCAGGTCGAACCATGACTCGGGGTGGTTTCATCCACGTTCGAGACCCTTCGGGTTTAAGATAAGCCAGAGGTCGTTCCAGAAAATCTTTAACACCTCCTGAGGCGACCTTGACCCCATCAAAAGCTCCGGCGAGCTCTCGCGTAGGTAGACTATGTTGCACGTTAGCCCAGCTAAATGGCATAGCGCAGTGCACCTCTTCACCATACCCGTTCACACTCTTGGATCTCCAATAGGAATCAATTGAAGACCCATCAAAAGGCTGAGACCCCAACTTGGCCAAAGCGCCAAACGAGTAATGCAATTCCTGCAAAAGAGATTTCTGAGTCGGAGTGGCAGGCCGCTCTGAAATAGCCAAATCTCCAACTGCCAACCAGTTAAGGGCTCTAGTGGCTGCTTCCAGCCAGCACTGCTCCTCGGGAGGCAGCCCTCCCGGCAGCATGGGCAGAGGGAATACCTCTGCCGTGGAGTGACGCTTGCATGGATCGGACACGTCGGCATTTGGCCCTAAACGATGGTTCAAACGGAGCCACTTACACAGTAATGGACCCAGCTGAGAAAGTTTGCCAAACAGATCACATGGCAATGCATCTCGCTCCAACCCCTCCCGGAGCCTAGGAGGGCTGGCATCTGAGATTGACACGACTGTGTTTACTCTTTCACTGCTACTACTTCGCTCGCTGCTGCCAGAATCCCCTTCGGAGGACGTGATTTCCCTGTTGGTTTTCCCTTCACATCCTTTCCTTTTCCTCCCTTCCAGCCTTTGTCCCCCTTTGATGAAGGATCCTCCCACTGAGGCCTCGCCCACGAATACTCCCATTTTCCTTTGCCTTTCTGGCTCAACGCGGCTCTCACTCTGTCCTCTCGTCTCTGTTCCTCCGCTGCACTCCTGCTCTCTTCTGTGGTCGCCAGCGTGAAAAACTCCGGTGGAATGATTTCCAACCGATTGGCTATGGCGGGAGACACACCTTGGCCGATCTGTTCTACTGCTTTCAGACGCTGAACTCCGATGTCCAAGCACTTCAACACATCTCCCTCTAATATAGCATCTAGACAACATGCCAGGGTCAAGTACTCCCGCCTCATAGGAGTACTGGCCCCCGAGTGAGCGAATACTTGGCGATAATACTTTAGGAAAGTCGGGCTTGGACTGTGATCTCCCCCCGACTCCCCGACTGCTGTCATGAGCCTTTTGCGAGCCTCCTTGATGGCGTGTCTCGTCAGCAGTCCTGGACACTTCCGTGAAATGTGCCGCGCTTGGGCCTCCTCCGGAAACAAATCTTCTTGATCCGAGTCTACTTTCATGCTGCTGCTTGTACTGCTGCTGCCGCTGCTCCGTTCTCTCTTGCGTTTCAGGCCAATGCGCGGTCGACGAAATGCGGGGTCTAAGGATGATCCTCTCCAATCCCACCTGCTCGCCTTGATCATGAACTTGACCCGAGCCTTCCCTTTCAACCTTTTCGCGCGCTCTGGAGCTTCCCCTTCGGTCCTGATGGCAGGAGGGGGAGGGGAGGCCCCCAACCCTCCCGGGTTCACGCCATAACCCAGATCCTGGGCCACAGCTGCAAGGCCGGTAAAGCCTTGTGGATTCCCCACCAAATCGATCAGATTCGATTTCCAGTCTAGCAGTGGGTCCACCTCGCGTGCTTCTTGCGCGCAGAACAACCCGTCTAGTTGGGGATCCAACTCTTTGGTCAGGGGCTTCCTGTTGGCGTAGAAAGGTTCTGAATGGGACCTCTTCCACTCCTGCAGCGCCGCATCGACAGTGCCTGTCAGGTTTAATCTCATCCAATGGCCCTCTCGATCGTCCAAGAGACTCTCTACTTCTCCCACGCACTCCGCTGGTATGCCCTTGTAAGTTCCCTTCAAATGCAACTGCTGCCCTACTTGAGGGACGAAATCTTGAAGCCCCTTCCATCCTGACAGAACCTTAGAAGATCTGCGCCTAGGACTGGGTTTGCTCGCTGCCTTAGAATTAGCTCCGGCCTTTGGATTTGGCAGGCTACCACGCCGAAGTATCCCTTTGACTGGAGTTCTTGTCGCGGCTGCGGGACGTCTTCTGGGAGTTCTAGGAGCCATCAGGTACTCCCTCACGCCAAGCCCGTTCAGCCCTACCATCACGATGTTTCTTCCCCTTGTTTTTCTTCCGGGATTTGCTTGTCTGTTCAATGAACTCAGACTCCTCGTCGATGGACGCCTGAGCTTGATGTTCTGCAGGTCGTGCTTTTCGTTTAGAAGCGGTCAATCTGACTTCAAGCCCTTCGGAATGATCTCGATGTGGTGGCGGAGGTGGCTTAGGTGGCTGTCTCTTTTGCTCCTTGCGTTCCTGTCGCCTGTCTTGGTCTCGATCGGATCTCTTCTGCTTCTTCTCGTTTCCCTCGCTTGATGACCTTTCCCCAAATTCAGACGCCTCTCCCGTTGCAGGAGAAGCACGCCCGTTGTCAAGGGAAGCAGGAGGGAGTTCCAAAGGAACACACAGCCAACTGTTTACCTCCCCCAAGCACCGCTCCAATATGGAATGAATCAAATCGAAGTTGTTGGAGCTCAGGCGAGGGTCCGCAGGAAGTAAAGAGATTGCTCGGCTTACTCGGCAGATTCCACGAATAGGACTGCCACTCGTGCTAGCCCAACGATGACAATCTGAGCAGCGCACCAGCGCTGCCGACATCAGAGCTGAACTAGAACAGGCTTTCGAGCCGATACGTTACAGCATCAGATTCCTAACTCACGAAGACGCACATCATTGGTTTGTTGGCTGACGCATGAACAACATTCAGCCACTGTTTAAACACTGTATTTGCCAGGCATACTGGGTGATAAGCAAACGAAATGCCTCGAATCAACAATTTAACCAAGACGTGTTCAGCCTGTTTCAGCGCACACATACTTGTTGATCCGATATTACTCATGTAACACTTGTAGGCTGTCAAGCGTTCTTCAGTAAAAGATATCACACACCTTTTTGAATGATGCAAATTTGATGAATACTGATACCCAGGTAGATAATCTTACAAGACGTAGAAGCTAAGCCTTAGCTGAATTCTCGAGACTACAGGTGGCTTGATTGAGGAGGTTTGAAAAGCATACAACAATAAAGACGAAAAGCAACAACGTATTCAATGATGATGTGTGTGTGTGTGCGTGTGAACCGTGTAGGCTTTTTCCATCCAGCCTGCTATTGCCACTGCTGCACCAAAACTTTGGCTATGAGTCATAGAAAACAGGCGAATAAATACCTGTTCTTTAGACAATTATCCTAAAATGATGGATTCCGTGGGCTTTGGAGTGTGTGACGCCTCGGTGGTGCGTAATTCTCGGGAATTTCGGCGTTTTCGCTCGAGTTTTCAATCATAGATTTGTGGTTGGTGGGCGTCATGTTCTGTTGCTTTGGGAGCCGGGGGCGGGGGGATTTTTGCATGTGCATGCGTATGCATATGTAAATGTGCACGTATACGCATATGTTTTTAGTCTATGTCTATGTCCACATCTAAGTCTCTATATATATATATATATATGTATATATATATATATACATATATACATATACATATACATGTATGTACATGCGTATGTAGAAAATGTGAAGGTATGCACGCAAGCATGCATGAATGATGCAACTGTGTATGTATGCACATGTGTACGGAGGTTCGCACGCATGCATGTATATTCGTGTATGTATGTGTATGTGTTTATGTATGTATGTATGTATGTACGTATGTACGTATGTACGTATGTACGTATGTGTGTGTGGGTACATGTGCAATGTATGTGTGTACAAGTATGTACCTGTATGTATGTATGCATGCAGGTAGGTATGTACATGAGTACTTTGTACATGCAGATGTACTGTAAATGTCGCTGCTTTGTTCGTACACATGTGCGTATATTATAAAAAACAAAAGGTAAATTGGGCATACAGAGTTTGGAGAGATGCATACGCCCAACCATTGTCGTTTGCATGTGAGCCTCTGCACTCGGTGAGGTTGTAGATGCAAGGATCTCGCGCCAAGTCCTCCACAGCTGGATGTCTGTGAACCACTACCCCCGCTTCATTGTCAGCCCATCCTCAAATTAGTGTCCTGGACCTACACGGCTGACCTCTCTGCAACACGAAGAACATAAGATAATAAGATCCGTCCTCCTGCAAGGGGCTTTGTATGACAGCTGATTAGACCTTCTGACTAGTCTGGAATGGCAACTTCGCTCCATGTCTCTCATCCATTCAGGTACATGTGATACCTCTGTCGAAGAGCTCGACAATCCTACAACATCCGGCGAACTGTTGCCCAGAAACCTTGCATCTTCGTGCGTTCGATTCAAACAACCCGCTTCCGCCGCTGGCGAAGCCCCAATGCACCGCAGCTTGCAGATCATTCATGACAGCCGACTATGTATCCAAACGTAGCTCCTAACATCAGAGCGAGGTCATGTTAGCATGAATCCGGCCACTCCATCTCAATCGTGACCATATTGCCTTTGCGCACCCAACACGCCGATTGAACTTGTGTCAACAACAGATACCTGAACGTTCTGGCACCTTCAACGGCTGATGCAGGAACCACCTACAGAAAGAACCACCCCCAAATCGTTTGAAGATTACATGCACCTACACACACACACACAGACACCAGCGAGTGTTGGAGGCCGAATCAGCAAGAGGCTTCGGCTTAAACTTGACTGAACCTAGATTCTCGATGACTAAAACGAGCAAAGAGAGGAAACCTGATCTGGCTTTGCCTGCGGCAGCTCGAAGTCTGCGCATGGCATCAGCGGATAGCACCTCGGACAGCAAGCCGCCTCTCTGTGCCTCCACAGATACTGCTAGCAAGAGGTAGTTGAAGAGAGCGAAAGTCTGAAAGCCAGCCACGAACCGAACGGACCAAATCTAAAGCGGTACGAGGCGGGCGGTGCTGATGACTCTGACAGGATAGCGTTGCCCGGAATTTCAATGTGCGCAGTGCACGTATCACCAATGCAAAAACTTGATGGACTTTGGCGAATCTGTCCACTCCGAACCTTGGACCGTAAGTTGTTTCGATCAGTCTGTCCCAAAGCCGGGCCTGAGAAATAAGGGTCACGACGGCAAATATCATGTATCGCTGTTGCTGATCATGACGACGAGGATACAGATGAAGATCACGAATAAACATAATGTGATGATGACGGTGATGATGATGATGATGCTGCTGCTGCTGCTGGTGGTAGTGGTGGTGGTGGTGGTGGTGGTGGTGGTGGTAGTGGTGATTGTGATGGTGATGATGATGATGATGATGATGATGCTAATGGTGGTGGTGATAGTGAGGCTGATGATGACGATGATGATGACGATGATGATGATGGTGATGGTGATGAGGATCAAACGTATTCAATGATGATGACTCCTTCAGATGATGAGGACGATCACGGCAGGAATGGGAGGTCATCGTCGTCGCCGTCGACACAGTCGCCCGAGCCGACACTGTCATCGTCGCCATCGCCGTACCCGCCGTCGTCGTCACCGTGACCGTCACCGTTGCTGTCGCCATCGACGTCGCCGTCGTTGTCGTTGTCGTCGTCAGTGTCGTCGTCGGCTGCCTCTGCTTAGCATCCCCCATTCGCCCTTCGCCACTCGCCAAGCAACCCCTGCAGTTCGACACGCCGCTGGCAGAAGGGAGCTCCATCAAAGACACAGATCAGCTGCGCGGTACCGGCGTAGCCTCACAAGAACAGCAAGCCCTTCGTGGTGCCCCCAACTACAAACTGCCACACTCCCTGCGAGATCCTCCTCTGCGCCCCAAGAGCAAACGGGAGCCTGGAGCGCATTCCCAGACGTCAGATGTGTTCACATAGCCGTAGGGCAGTGGATCCGGAGGAGGACAAGGCAGGTCGCACTGAACTTCTCCGATGTCAGGCTCACCTCCATCTCTAGAAATCATCACAAAGCAAAGAATATGAAAGCCCAAGCCATAAATCGAACCGTCCCCAAAACGGGTGTTCTTTCCTTTCGAGGGACGCCCCGGCTGCGTGTTGTCCGCAGGGCACCGGAGCTCATGGCCCAAGCCCACGTAGGGTTCCACGCATGGCGCCCGGCAGACTTCGCCCGGAGCCATCTCCAGGCCTTCAGAGAATCAGCAGAGCTAGGGCCGATACCACTCAGGAAGCATAATGATCACCCTAAACCCTAAACCCTAATCCTATGAACCTCGAGTGAGACTAATGGGATCAACAAAAATCCCAAGGAAGATGGCCCGCGGGCGAAGATCAGCTAGACCGCCACTGAGTCATTCAACCAATGCTGAGCATAATGGGAGCAACAGAAATCCCAAGAAGCATGGCCCGTGGGCGTGCACTGGAACTGACTCATCTCCAAGTCGCAATCTTGGTAATCCTTGGAGGCTTGCAGCAATGGACATGCCATGCGACTGCCCCGAATCTTGAGCACCACTGTATCTTCCAAGCTCACTGTTGGGATGATTTGCTCCCGCAAGCGCGCAGCCATGGACTCAAGGGACATTATGCGACACAAACAGCCTTCTTGCCAAGAAGCCAAGCGCTGGCAGTCTTGCTCCTCTCAGCTTGCCGAAGCTAGATGCGCATCTCGTAATTACTGTGCTGCGCTGATTAAACACGTTTGATCGTGGATACAGTCTGATTCTGGATGGGTTCAGTGATTCTCTGACGCTGTATTGCAATATATGCGCTGGGTGTCAAGACCAGCTTCATGTCAGCCACTCCACATCAGTTGTCCCGCCTCCGTGAAGCGGCACCCCACAATAAGATCGCACCCAACGAGATCTGCTGGACGAATGGCGCAGTCGTCCTGTTGCTGTCTCAAGAACCATGCATGCTACTTTCGCCGTCGAACACTGCCACCATCTTGCTGCATGCTCGACTCACTGGCCACCCTTCTCACTCCTGCGGATCTGTGTTGCAGCGCCGCACTGGACGACCTCCGCAAGGTGCTGTTGGTGAACACATTCCTGATTCCTTGACAAATGACCTCACAGCAAGTTGAGTAGGAACTACCACTATTCTCCTGCCCTGTCTCAACCAACAAGGATGCTTGATGAATTCTGCTTTCGTAGTGCAGCCGAGTTCGACTTCCAAAATGGAAGATTGCCACTTATGCGAACATGCGGCCTTTGTAGCCGTCGGCGCAGTGCACGTTTCCTTGCCAGCAGGGCCGACAGAGACAGAATGCCTTCAGTAGGCCTGAAACCATGCAGCTTGGAATGGAAAAGACGAACTACAAGCTCTCATGTGTGTCCTTGTGCATCTCGCACATAGCCTTGTGGAAGCTCAGTTGGGTAAGGGCAGTCGCTGAAGCTGCACCAGGGTGCCGTCCACTCCTTGGAGTGGGCGATCGACCGTGCAGGATTTGATGGGTGAAGGCCAAGGGGCCAAAACCACCCTAACCAAGCCCAGCCTAAGTGACCTGGAGTAGGAAGCCCTTGAATGCTTCTCGCAATACAGACATGGCGTTTTTTACTTTCACCTGTTTCTGTGTCAGCCGGTGCGCCAAAAAAGGTACGCACCGGCGCTGTTTCAGGAGGAGGAACAGTGACGACAGCTCAGGACTCACGGAGAGCTGAAGCAACGTAACACTGCCGAGGCTGTAGACTGTATACGCAGAGGCCGCGGTGCGAGGTTCCTTTAACTGGACAAACGCAAACCCCGAACAGTAAAGAAGCTACAACCACTAGGCTTGTTGAAGCAACCAAACGGGTTGTGACGCCTCCACGGTAGCAAAAAGTCCTACGTGTCAGGCTGACCACTGATGTGACACTTACGTGACACCCACCTAGCCATGCAAAGTGCCTCTGGACAGAGCTTTGTCGAACTTCATGCGCTCCCTTCTAGGCCCAGGAACGCTTGACAACAGAACTCGACTTAGCTTAACCAACGGCACGCGTGGATCATGACATGTGTCTAGGTGTGCCAAGAGCTGTCTCCAAGGCCGAACAGCTCAGGCGCTGGCCAGCGGTAGCCCTTCTTGTAGGTTATTCGAAGCACAGCGTGCTATTGTGCTGTTGCCCAGATACGGTGCCTGGCGAACAAAAGGAAAGCTCACATTGAACTGCTTTGCTCCTCTGACACGATCTGCCTTGCAGTGAATTTCGCAGATAGATCCAGAAGGGAGGAAGCCACATCCTGCTTCTGCAGGAAACATCGTTGCTCAAGACCCCAAGAAGCACAAGCCCTGGTTGAAGCATGACAAAAAAAACATGTCAAGGGTCATCATACTTAGAACTTAGGACAACACTGGACATGCACGACCATGAGAACTAACAGTAGTCAAAACAGTACAATGAGGATTGACGCGCCCAGCATCCTGAGAAGTCGTACATACAGGTGTCGATCCCCTCGGGCACCGCGCAGGGCAGGCAGAGGGGCACCACGTTGGATGCATTCCAGTCCCGGCTGCATTGCAGTTGCCGGTTGAAGCCGTCGCTGGCGACCAGCAGTGAAGCTACGACCTGCATCCAGGGCGGTGCAGAGGTGTAAGTGATGCCGGCAACACAACCCTTCAATGATCAGTCCGTGCGCCTCCAATAAAGGCCATCCTCGTCCAGGCATTGACACCAAGGTCACATCACCTTGGCTCGGTGCAAGCAAACAAGAGCACCTATCTGCAGTTGCAGACGTCTGATCAAACCTGAGTTGGCTAACATAAATACTCCGACGTCGGCAAACATGCACGCACGGCACGGGGCTCATTTAGATAGTCGATCTGAAGCAACTGGGGTCCACACGTAACACCGCGCGCCCAGGCACAAGCACAGCATGCAGTGTGGGCACGTAAACCACGTAAACCGAAGCAAAGTTCTCAGAGTTGACGACTTTCAACGTTCCGTCTGAAATCTTCAGCTGATGCCCGCTGCCGCACCAGCAGTCTTCGCACTGTAGCTACGGCTGTATGTCGAAACGGTTGGCGATGTGCATGATGCATGTGCATGTCCGCTAACAGAAGCCTTTGATGGCATAGACGTCGCAGGTTGACCAACTGTCCTAATCATTAAGCGGACTAGAGCGACAAAACATGTTGCACGGGAACGCAGCACATGCTCAAGTCTCGCTCTCCCTGGGCATGGTGACCCTCTGCACATGACATGACCACAGATGCAGCGTGCATTCTGCATGAGCCAGATCCTCCTGAGTCCAGCCTGCTGCACAAGACCAATTCAGCTTTCTCCGGCTTCCTTTTTTTGAAGACGGCAGGTCTCGGAGACTTCAGGGTGCAAGCTTGCGCCCGCAAGAGCTGCTTGTCACTGAGAGAGAGTGAGAGCGAAGGAGTTCATGCCAGGGCGACAAAGTACAGCGCAGGATAAAGAACTAAAACCCGGTCTGCCCTGCCTGCAGCACTCGTACAAAGCCAGCCTCACTCAAGACTCAAGACATTCCTGAACATGCCAACCGTAACGAATGGACACTTCAAGCCTCCGAAGACTTCACTCAGGACTCAGGCCCAGAGAGCTTGGAGTTCAGGTACTTCATGCTGGTCAACATCTCGCCATCCGAAAGTGCCCGATTCCAAACGATGACCTCCATGACACCAAAGTCCGAGGACTCAGTATAATGGCCGTCGTTGATGTACAAGTGAACGTCTCCGTTCGACTTCCCCACGTTCCCCTCTCCGATGTTCTTCATCTCCTGACCCCGGAAAATAGCCCCTGCACTGTTGCCACACATCACCAGCCAGTCCGTCTGGGGCTTGCCCCACCCGTGCTTGTACACCCAGTCGGTGTTGTAGAACGCAACCCCCACCGCTCCCTCCCAGTGGCCGTGAAGCCAGTTGGGCTGGTTGTGCTGGAGAATTCGCTTATTTGTTCCTCCGAGATAGCGAGTGACCGAGCAAATCGTGAAGTCGGGCTTCATGATCACGCCGAAGTCAATTCCGGTGTGGGCGTCGCCGGTGAGGTGTGCAACCGGACTTGTGGCGCCGTGGCCTCCCTCAACCTTTTTGGTGGGGCTGCCCCTCGTCACGCGAGCCTGCCAGCTGCCCACGGCACTTTTCCAAGATGAGCTGGCGTCCTCGCTCTTGAACCAGGCGACCAGGGAAGACGGATCAGCTGGCTGTGGCGGAAGGGGCCCTAGCTTGGAGTTCAGGTAATTCATGCTGGTCAACATCTCGCCATCCGAAAGTGCCCGATTCCAAACGATGACCTCCATGACACCAAAGTCCGAGGACTCAGTATAATGGCCGTCGTTGATGTACAAGTGAGAGTCTCCGTTTGCCTTCCCCACGTTCCCCTCTCCGATGTTCTTCATCTCCTGACCCCGGAAAATAGCCCCTGCACTGTTGCCACACATCACCAGCCAGTCCGTCTGGGGCTTGCCCCACCCGTGCTTGTACACCCAGTCGGTGTTGTAGAACGCAACCCCCACCGCTCCCCCCCAGTGGCCGTGAAGCCAGTTGGGCTGGTTGTGCTGGAGAATTCGCTTATTTGTTCCTCCGAGATAGCGGGTGACCGAGCAAATCGTGAAGTCGGGCTTCATGATCACGCCGAAGTCAATTCCGGTGTGGGCGTCGCCGGTGAGGTACGCAACAGGAAATGTGGCGCCGTGGCCGGCATCAACTTTTCTGGTGGGGCTGCCCCTCGTCACACCAGCCTGCCAGCTGCCCACGGCACTTTTCCAAGATGAGCTGGCATCCTCGCTCTTAAACCAGGCCACCATGGAAGACTTGTCAGCTGGCTCGGGCTTCACAAGCTCGGCGGTCAGCTCGTCGTGCCCTGGCCAGAAGTCCATCAGAGCTTTGATGGCCGTCTTCTTCGTGTCGACGGAAATCCACGGGATGGCGGTCAGGACGGCAGCAAACTGCACTCCGATGTCAGCCAAAGGAACTCTCCGACTTGGGCTCTGGAAGGGTCCGAAACCCATCTGCACACCCAACTGGACGATGTTGCCGTCGAGGAGGCCTTGGATGTGGAAGTTCGACCTTTCAGAATCCACCTTCAAGCTAAGGAGCTCGATGACTTCCTCCGCCTCCTGGTTCTGCCTTCGAGCCTCCTGCATTTCGCTCAATCGAAGCATAGCATCCTCTCCTCGCACCTCCCAGGTCCTGTTGGGCTCCATGGAGTCACCATAGTCGATGGAAGACAGGTAGACTTCCTCGGGCTCTGTCCTCCAGTACCAGGACTCAGTCTTTGCACCAGCGCCTTTGACTTCACTGCGGTTGCTGTCCACAAGCGACATGGCTTCAATCGCAGAACGGCTCTCCCCCTTGCCGATACCAAGCGGGGATCTCCAGGTTTGGTATCCGGTGCCCAGGTTCTGCTTGGAGAAGTCTGTATCATCACCGAAACGCTTCGCAAGCCTTAGGGTCCGGCTGAAGAGCAGGGAGTTGGCGGTTTTGATCTCCGCGCGAAGGACGGACAAGTCGAGGCCACCAGGCATCTGGTTCGGCCAACACACCGTGGTGATCACCTCGAGAAGCTCGTCCGGCAGAAGGTCGAAACTCAAGCCCACGATGGCGGACACTACAGGCTGGACGTTCAGCGCGAACTTCACTGTCAAACACTTCTCGACGGCCTGCTCGCCCGTGTAGAAGGAGTACCCCTGCCACTTGTTCCAGTTCTCCTGGCAGGCACACAAGGCGCACGTGCACTCACGAATTCTCACGCACTCAGGATCGCTCACTCACCTCAAAGAACCCTGAAACTGCAAAATTCCGCAGAAACAGTCGCGACAGCTTGGTGATAGCAATGGGATTGGCCAACATGCAGCCATGCTATGCACACAAGAAACCCCTCTCCTTCATCCAGGTGTTGTCGCAGGGCACCGCCCATGGCTCCAGCTGAACGAAGTCCTCCTTCTTTGCCGACGTCCAGTCCTCTTTCGTCGCCTCCTGGTGGTTGCCAACATGGGCCCCGTTCTTGGTTCGAGGAGCAAAAGCCAGGCAAGAGCCCGAATCGGCCTCCCTCCCACTGAACTGGGTGATCAAATTCGTGGCCTGGACGTCGTCGCCAGCCTCAAAATTGATCACTGGCACATCCGAGTCAAGGACCTCCTTCTGCCGCTGCTCATGTGCTGAAAGCACCTGCAAAAGGGAGGGATGCATCTTCTGCGAGTGCACCTCCACAACCAGATTCCCCTGCTGGTGCCGCACCGGCAAGTTTCCGATGGGCGGGAATTGGGACACACTGGCCTTCTGGATGAGGGAAGTGCCTCCCCGTAAAGCCTTCATTGCCATAGAAGTGGCCGCCTTAGCGAAGGTCTCGAGATGCTCACTGATGACGTCACCTAGCTGGTTCAAGTAGCTCAGAGGAGGTACCCGCTCGATGATCTTGAAGCCTAGGCATCTCATGACTTCATGACCGGACTCGAAGTTTTGGCAATGCATCAGGTCGTTCCCCATGGCCATCAAGCTCTGCACGGAGTGGACATTCGAGCCTGCAAGAACGCCAACCGGACCGGGCATGAAGTTCAGCGGCGGCTCGAACTGCATGACGTAGCGTGCCACGCGTTGGGCCATGCATTCGAAAACGTTGCCTCTGTCGCAGTCCGGGGTGTTCAGAAGATCCGTCATCATGCTGAACACCCTGTGGACGCTCTCCTGGCCTGCATTGACAACAGTGTGCAACTGCTGCGGCAGATAGTGAAAGACGTGTTCCTCCATGCAGTCGAAGGTGTTCCCCCGATCGCAGTTGGCTGTGTTCAGAAGCTCCGTCATCATGCTGAACACCCTGTGGACGCTCTCCTGGCCTGCATTGACAACAGTGTGCAACGGCTGCGGCAGATGGTGAAAGACGTGTTCTGCCATGCAGTCGAAAGTGTTCGCCCGATCGCAGTTGGCTGTGTTCAGAAGCTCCGTCATCATGCTGAACACCCTGTGGACGCTCTCCTGACCCGCATTGACAACAGTGTGCAACGGCTGCGACAGATGGTGAAAGACGCGTTCTGCCATGCAGTCGAAGGTGTTCCTCCGATCGCAGTTGGCTGTGTTCAGAAGATCCGTCATCATGCTGAACACCCTCTGGACTGCCTCCTGGCCCGCATTCACAACGATGTCAGACATGCTGATGAGGCTGTCGACTTGCTCCACAGTTGCCCGAGCAACTTTCCTTACCTGATTCGGCAGCAAGTCAATGAGGGGCTCCATGCGCAGGACATCGAATGCTACACGTCTGGCCATGCAGTTGAACATGTTGTTTGTGTCGCAGTCGGCAGTGATCAACAGATCGGTGTGCATCCGAAGCATTGATTTGATTTCACGCCAGGGTGTAGACTCAATTGCCCGAAGCGAGTCGCCTAAAAACAGATCGGGCATCCTCACGCGATGTTCACCGAAATTGACGCTGAAGAGGTTTTTCCTTACGCCCGCAATTTCCAAAGTGCAACTCAGAGTGTCAAACCTGAGGACGAAGTGATTGTCAGTGAATGAGAATGATGCACCTGGACGAGTACAGCTCGCCGAGAAAGGAACTGGTACGGGACTCCCGCCGGGCAGTGGTACGGGACTCCCGCCGCCGCCGGGCAGTGGAATGATCCTTGTTGCCTTCTCCACGGTGTCAACCACTGTGTTCTGAAGAAGCTGCGCTGTTTTCGCATCGCCCATGGCCTCGTCAACCGCAGCCTCCCACTTGCTTGAGGCATTCAGGGTCTAGGGTTAAGGCACAAGGCTTTAAGCTGCCGAGGCTGTTGCGGTACCTGAACCCTTGAAGCGCCACAAAACGCGACTATCGCGTCACAGCGTGCCGGACTTGCCACTGAGAACGATTCTTATGCACAGGCAATCCTTTATATGTCCGACGACCGATGCAGACATGTCCCAACCCTTGCCTTGCTTTGGAGAAACGCATCTACGGGGTGTTCTGCCCGTGTGGGTGACCGGTCCTGGCAATGCACTATTCGCAACCTGTGTGCAGCCCGTGGCCTCCACCATTTCAACTCTCCTTGTGGGCATCGGGATCGTAGTTGCGTGTCTCGCGCTGCCGCTGGTGCTTGTCTAAGACCGTCTTAAGAACATCACCTGCAGCTTGGGGATCACGAGATTTTTTCTTTGCCACCGCGATGTGCTGGACGTCCAAGCCTTGACAGCTTCCAAAGATTCACATGTGGAATCACAACCACTGATCCACATTCGCCACAAGAGTAGCCAAGCAACCAACGTGCTCTTTCAAGGCATCGATTTCGGTGTGCGCGGCGGTGAGCTCGGCTTGCTGCAAATGCACCACCGTCTCCAGTTGTGCCACCTGCGAAACAGGATGAAGGGTAAAGAGGGCTGATGTGTCCATCCGAGCTTAGGATGCTGTACGTGCCCTGCACCCCACACCCACCTTGAGCAGCAGGAACTCCCAGTTGCGGTCGCCGAAGCTTTCGATGCCGTTGGTGGCATTGCTATCGCTGACGTTACCTTCCTGGTTCGGGTCTTGCAAGTTTGAACCCCTGCTTTTTGAAGCTGCCGGTACGCGGACGAGCAACTACGAAATCAAAGCTTATGCCTGCGTAGGCTCTCACAGTGAAAGACCATGTAGCAATCAACCCTGCATTACACCCAAGACTCATTCCAGGACAATGCCGGAGGCTTCCAACACACCACGAGTGAAAAACACGCCAATCTGTGGCGCGGCAGCATGCTTGGCACACCAAAACATGTCGGAACTGGCCCAGGAGTTTTTCTGTGTCAAAGTTCCTTCTAAGAATTAGAAGGCAGGAAAAAGGAAACCGTGGAACCGTGGGCACTGGGGGCTGCGCATTTCTTGTTCGCTCCTCAATTTCTTGCTTTTGCCCACCTAAACGGAACCTATTGAGTCGGAGGATTGGAAATAGTGTGCACTAACCAGCTCTGTCGCTATCCTCCGACCCTCCGTTTGCCAATCTAGAGCGCTTTTGCAGAGTTGGATTTGTGCCTCACCTGCCTTGGGGCACTGAGGCGTCCTCCTCCCTAGTCCTCAGAATATGTCCAGCTAGTTTCTCTCGAACTAACTCCAAAAACAGCTTGATTTCGTTGTTGATAAATGTGTACTTCTTCATTTCTTCATTCCTTTTCCTCAGTACAACCTCATTCGTATTTGCTCGGTTCACAGAAGAACCATCTAAGCCCAGGGTCCTTCTAATTCCGAACAAATGACATGTTTGTACTTTCTTCTGCATCATTTGCACTAAATGATCAGATTCAAAGCCATATAGAGTTTGTTTCTGATGATGATACCATACATTTGCAGGGTTTATACATTGTAGAGATTGATGGTAAGTAGCCCATGTAGGTTCATCACACTGACGGGAGATTCTTCACACAGCCAAACACCTTGCTGGGAGCCTCGTGCGGCAGAGGTATTGCATTCGCTTCGTCTGCATCATGCCCCAAGTTGTTCTCCAAGAGTTGCTCCACCTCAGTGGTCAAAAGGGTTTAGGGTTTTGGGGTTAAGGGGTTTGAAGTTTAGGGTGTAAGGCTTTGGACTGCTGCCCCAAAACCCTGAGTTCTTGCTCAGGAACTCAGCTCAAGTTGCCATACCCATGACTCATTCCGCATGCCCATGCTTGCAACTCAAGCTGAAGCTATCAACAAGAGAGCACACAATTTTCAAATCTTTCGAATGTATATAGACTATAGACTATACCAGAGAAAACGACCATATACTATAACAAACTGGACCCTTCTACAATCTGACCAGTATTCCCGTGATATACTAGAACATGCTATACCATATAGGTTCTGCTAGAGCATAGATTCTATCTCACCCGGCCTTTCGGGCCGGTGTCGGGTCCTTCGAATCGGTGATACTGATGGGCGGCTCGGTGATCTTGTAAGCTTGGACGCCGGGAGGTTGAGAGAGCCATCCAAGTGGCCCCAGCAAGCAGGAGATCACCAGAAAGTGGCACACCTTGCTCAGAGACCACTGAACAAATGGCAATGTTTGACATGATATGGCACCAGATCTAAGTGAATATATGAACTCGCCGTGCTGTTGATTCCGCGGCAGGGCACGATAAACGAATACACGAAAAGAAGAGCTTGCTGACTTTGCAGCTCTTAAGAAATGCCATCCCCTCTGAAAGCATCTGAACCCCGGAAACATGCTCCGGGCTTGCCGGACAACACTGGATATGCAATGGGAAATTCATGATTAGCCGCAAACTGAGTATCTCAGGCGGCCTATCTGTTCAAACTCTGGCATGCATGACTTTTGACTTCTGTGCGATCCCCGTCACCTGAATCTTGCCAAAGCAAGCAGGCATGCCGCACACAAATTGCTTCATTCGTAGTACGTGAATCTGAAATAAGAAGCTAAACGGCTGCACGACACGCGGTGGTTAATCCGAACACACACTTGCATCACACTCTTGACTGAAACCTATGCCTGCAACGCGGTCACCAACTCCATGCGACATCGAAGGCGACCAAAAGGCGAAGACATCTTCAGCACTGCCTCATCAAAAGCAAAATTCCGACTATCTTCAAACTAGCTGTTCTGTTCTACACGCAAACCACACAAATGCTGCATAGCGGCCGCAAGAAACAGGCCAAAACTTCGTAATGTCGAAAAAAACGATTCTTGGAAAGGTCGGTGGAGGTTGGGTCCACCTTGACACAGGTGGGTTGAAGGGAGGCTTCAAGCCTCCCGACTGCAAAAGCGCACAAGAAAGTTTTGAGAACGAAAAGAAAGCCTCAGAGGGAAAAATGAATTCTGTGAAATGAAAAGCAAACAAAAATGTTTGGCCGAAGGCTTCTCTGGACGAAACCAGACAAAAAATTGACGCGAAGCTCAGCCGCTCCTTCAAATTCAATTCTCGAACGACACCAACAAAGAAAACGCACACAACACTTCTATGTGGAGAACAAGCAACATCAAAAACTGAAACAGAATCAAATATTAGGGAACACAGAACTGAAAATCGAAACTCTTTTGGTCTGTTCCGGCGAAAAAACGCAGAAAAAGAAACCTGTTTCTCATCATCGCAGATTCACAGCAGTGGCGTTTTTTTGCAGTAAAGGTCTCCATCTTCCAGCAAATGCATCTGACTGGCTGCACTGATAGGTTTTTTGCCATCTAGGGCAGTCTGCAGCTGCATTGAGAATGCACAAGGTGACAACAGCAAAGAGTGAAATTGCTGGCAGAACTAAAACCTTGGTACGCAAAGCTTTTGCAGCAAAAACACAGTAGAAAACAGCTTCCACTCGGAAACCGTCGTCGCACGCCTCGTTGGCTGCAGCTGCAGCACAAGGCCAGCGCTTTTCGGGTTTTTCTGCCTGCTCGAGGATAACCGTGGGTCTGGACGCCACTTTTTCTCAGTTGGGATTTGCGGAGTCGACAGCTTGCAATCAAGCAGATCTCCTAGCTGATTTGCGCCGACATGATTCCATTCGACAGCTGAACTGGCTGAGAAATGAGTCTCTGCAACACTGTGATGTGCACTTGCTGCTTTCCGTGGCTGCTGTGGATCGCCCGTATTGGAGATCCTCAAACTTTTTTTTGGCGTGTGCGGATCTCGGAGACAGCGGCTGCTGTGCTCGGTCCCAGTGATAATGCAAAGAAGTACAATTATGACCAAGAACCGTACAAACATCTGACTACATATCAAAAAACAAGGTGAGACTGGCTGCGACATGCAGATTTAGCGGCAGACAATGGAGGTCCTCAAACGAATCACAATCTCAACAGAATGCACGTCATCCAAACCGTTCAACAATTTCGTGAGTGCTGTCACAGTTTGTTCGCCAACTGTGTTCTTTTGAGAGATCGAAACTTTGAACAACAGTTCTTCAGTTTTGAAAACCCCGGTTGCTGGCCGCTATCTGAGTTCGAGAACTCTTCATACCACGCGCTGACGCTTGGTTTGCCCAAGAACCACGGCCTAGAAACCGCGGCGTTCGGCAAAGCGGCATTTTGCCGCGAAGCGTGGAGGAGAAACTTGAGCCGGCAGGAGGGTCCCGCCCGAAAAAGAACGAAACTGCAACAAGCCCCAGCAAAACCCCCACCAAGCACAACACTCGGACAGAGACCTTCGTTTTGCTGCACTCCACACGCAGTTCCGGTCTTGAGCCACGTCGGCACAAAGTCTTCCAGAAAGCTAAGGTGCAAACTACCTAAAGCTGGCTCGGAGCTCTCTAAACAACTTCCCATGGGCCAAAAGCACCCTGGTACTACTAAAACTCCTCAGCACGTCCGAAAACAGGGAAAACCTCCAGGACCTACGGCTTTAAAGCGAAAAGAGTCCCTCACACTCCAAGTGCCAGGAAACTAGCCGAGAACTGCTAAGGTTTATACCATGAGCCGGACGCCCACCGTATCCTCCAAACAGAGGATATACGTTTTCGCCTCGCGCCTGTAGGGCCTTCTCGGAGCAGTTCTGCTACAGAAAACCGCAGCCCTAAACCAAATCCTAAACCTTAAACCCGAGAACGGAAAATGAATGCAAACCGTACTCGGTCACCACACTTTTCGATGGGATCGCAAAGATCGGATGTGCCGGGCATCGAAACGGGTTGACCCGAGGATGCCTTCTGTGGGGTGGCGACTATTGCACCACCCCACGAACAAAAATTCTACGAGCGAAGCTACGATACTTGAGTGATAGCTTCGGACTAAGGGAGCGACCAGAAGGTCCTCCGGGACTGAGAGTCCACGCTAGAGCAAAGGCTACAAGCAAGAAGCGATCTGCAGACTACGGCGGTGAAACGAAGTGGGGCCAGTGGCGGGTCCAGCAGGAGGCGCCAAAGTGTGTTGTGCGGCGGAGGAGTACTGCCGCGAGCATCAACATGATGAAGCATTGGCGACCTGAAGGCCCGATCATGCACAATCCAAGCACCTGTGGCGGGATGGCAGGGGTGCTGCACCAAGTGTAAGCGAAAGATGCAAAGAAGGATAGCACGTTCACCAAGGTGCCGGGCCTAGCAGAGGCCGGCGTGCACGCAAGTGACAAAGGGCGGGTCGGGCGGGAAATCAAAATTGCGAAGCGACTTCGCCGCAACTTGAACCAAGCGGAGTGCGGATACACAGAGCTTCCCGACATGAACTGAAGCAGAAAGTCGCGGGCACTGGCAAGCGGAAAAAGAAACTTTCCAGTTTCCAAATTGAAAAAGGGCAGGCGTTTTTCATCGCAAAACATCAGTGGACAAGTCCACAAGTACGTGCTCAACGAGGTTGTGAAACAAAAAAAGGGGCAACCAGGGTATTCCTGGTGCCTTAGGGGACAACTTAGGCCCAGACACTTGGAGGGAGAGGCTCACCTGGGTGTCCTACCACCAGGGGAGGAACTCGCCCTGTGGCCAAACGGCCCTGAGAGGAGAGGCTCACCCTCGAAGCTTGGGCAGGAGGGAGAAACTCACCTCTAGCCACTTTGGGACTTCAGGGGAGAAACTCACCCTGGCTGCAAGGCTCGGTGCCAGGGGGGCCCCACTGGCAAGCGGCAGGCTGTTGCACAAACTCTACTCGAGAGAGCCTCAGTCCGGGTTGAAGTAGGTGCTCAGGGTGCCCTTGGATGACATGCATTGATGTTCACGAAGCAGGGAATGGTAGCTAGGGGAATTCTCCGCGCACTTGAGGAACCTGGCCGGGTAGTTCAGCCTTAGAGGGTTCCAAACAGCCCTTAGCTGCTCCAGGACCTCAGGTGAGAACTGGCCCACTAACCGGAGGAAACCCTCATCACCCCGAGAGCGCCTGTGCTGGCCGAACTCCCAAGACTGGAGATCGTAGAGCCTCACCCGTAAGGGCGGCACACGGTTTGCCACCGCAACATTTGATGGCCCTATGTCCTTTAAGACCACTCCCCTCGCCTCGATCCAAGTGAAAACCGAGGCCAGGTACCAAAAGAACTCGGCCTTCTCGTGAGCATCCATGGTCGGAAGGATACCCAGGGCTGGAAGTGCACGTTCCTGCACAAGCCCATAAAATAGTTCATTCTTGAACTCTCTATTGTGGTACATGCCAACTGTGATCCATCCTTCCCAGTAAACTCTGGCAGTCACGGTGCCAAAGGACCTTGACACACCAGCCTCACTGCCATGAGAGCTGTTTGCCAACTTCAGCACCCTTTGACCATCCAGCTCATAGGTAACGCGGTTTTGTCCTTTGCCCAGGAGCCTGAGGTACTTCGTGTCCCGAACGGGGACCTTTGTGAAGATGTCCTGAAGAAGCAAGAGCTCACCGGACAAGAAGTGTCTTGTATGGGTTGGCCTACGTTGGTTGGGCTGGCTGTAACATACAGCCTGTGGCCCTTCTTCTTGCTCCTGCTTGATCGTGGGGTTCAGAAAATAACTGACCAGCGCAGCCCTTGCGCTTTCCGAAATGGGCTCCATGATAACGGAGACGCCCGTTGCCTCCGAGACAGCCTCATCTTCTTCGTCCTCCAGGTTGGTCACAGCAGTCAAGCCTGGATGGTCCGAAGCAGTTTGTGGCCGTAAGGGTGAGAAACTCGACCCTGGCTGCCCCATTTGGTTCAAAGTGGTCGAGCTTGGACGTTGGGTTTGATGGTTTTGGTCTTAGGGGCCAGCTGTTCTAAGCTGGCATGGATCTGAGCTGACGATTGCGCACACGGTTACCGATTTTGATTTTGTGCAGCGTTCTATTGGCTTTGCACGTGAGCGGTTCAAAGCCTTGGATGTAGCAGCATAGGGTTTGGGGCTGTGAATTCAGGCGAGTTTTTGCAGAGTTCCGACTGATCAATGTCGTAGTGGGTTTTTTGCACGCAAGGTTAACAGTTTAGGAGTCAATACCCTATATCCGGAACTGCTAATCCTAAGCCCGTACACCCTAAACCTTCGAACCCCGCTGCTTGGTCTTGGCTTGGAAGTGGATCTCGAGAGATTTCTGGAATCCGGCTTGCTCGACCTTCCTCATCTCGTGAGTTTCTTACCTCACAGAACCCTTAGGCACAGTGAACTTCAGGATCCCTTCCCTCAGCGAACTGGCTTCTATCCTGCTACACACGCTGAGCTCCCGGCTGGTCTTTTTCCAGACCCCGAGATGTCTTTTTCCAGACCACGCGATCTTTCTTGCTGTTGTTCGACATCCACGGTCCAAAAAAAGACCTTGTTCTTTTTTTCGGCCCCAAGCAGAGGCCAGAAAAAAGACAAGTTGGAGGCCGGAAAAAGATCCTTTGTCGTGTGTGTGTGTTTTCATTTCTATTTTGTTCATTCTTATTTTCTTTCCTTTTGCCCCCTAAAGCGATATCGTGTGGCTTCTCCTTCCTTCGTGTTGGAAATTTTTTTTATATTTTTTCGATGACACACTTTGATTTCTTTCGTTCGCTTTCAGCCCCTAAAAGCGATTTCGTGCTTCTGCTTCTTTTTGTGTGTGTGAGAAGTTAGAGTAGGGTTATTAGTTTTTGTGCAATTCGCGTTGCAAAATTCAGATTGTGGCGCTCTTTGTTGTGTTGTTTGATATGTCATGCGTGCGTGCTTCTATTTTTGCAGAGGTCAGAAAAAAGACATTAAAGGCCCAGAAAAAGATCCACCGGGGTCCGAAAAAAGACACGGGGTCAGTTACGAGATATTTCGGGGCCGAGAAAAAGACGGCTTAAATCGTAGAGTGGAGGTCGAAAAACAAATCGTAATCTTTTTCTAGACCTCGTCGCGGGGCTGAAGAAAAGATGGAAGTCGGAAAAAAGACATGCCGGGTTCGAAATCAAGATGGACCAAGCGCGGGGTCTGAAAAAAGATATTTTGGGGTCGAAAAAAAGAGCAGCCCCTGAGCTCCGAATGGAGACGCCTCATGGCTTCATACCCTGCAGGTGCCCCAGGCTGCTCCTCAACTTGCTTCAAAACATCGAGACCCCTTGGGTAGGCCCCAAAACTCTGACGCAAACAAAGGAAAACCCTCGTGCTTCTCACACTCTCACCCCTCGACAACGCTCTGAACGGACTGTCCTTGACCATGTGAGACTGGATTTCCTGGGATACGATCATCAAACAAAGCTTGAAACTTCCCGCAGGCGCGCCATCCATGGAAGATCCAAGATGTCGGACAGGCTTCCAAACTCTTTTCCTTTAGTTTCTCTGTTGCTTTCTCTCGACACCAAACCCTCAACCAACTGACCATTTGACTGATCTGCTTCTGCTGCTCTTGCACCGTCTGCATCAACCGCGTTTTTCCATTCATGAAGGTGCTGCGCCCGGAGGACACTTGACGGCACTGGCTCTGGTGGAACAGCAAAGATCCTGCAGGAGGGACCGGAGTTCCAGAGTGTGACCCCACAGAAAGCCTAGTTGGGTTGAATTCTGGTGGCGACCCTGCAGTGGAAAGCTGGGAGATTGGACTGTACGCAGCCGCAAACTCCACTCCAGCTCTCGGAACCGAAGAAGGTCTCATTCGTCTCTTGGGGTCCGGCACATCAGAGCCACGAGGGGCATCATCTCTGGCCATGTTGAAACGTCTACCTTGCCCTTGCTGGGAGCCTCAGTGCGCAAGGCTGCGTCTACAGTGTGGAGTTGGGCGGTTCTACCAGGCCGGCAGTAAGAGGCTTTTTGGCTTCTTGTTGCGTGCGGTTCAGAGCTCCAAGCCACCTTTAGACTGTTTGTACCTTGGCTTTCTGGAATTTTGTGCCAGCGTGACTTAAGAAAAATACTTGGCCAAGCTCCAGGAGCACCAGCGGAGCTGTGGAACTCTGCAAGCGTTACCTGGTAACCATGTTGGAAGAGATCCAGAAGGCGGTGCTGGAAAGCGAGTCGAAGCGCAGCAGTTGATAGAAGCCTCCAGGAACTTCAAGACGGGAGCCCAAACACTCAGGGAACCTGAACAGTTTGTCGTTCCAGAACTTATAGACTGTGAAAACACAGCAGCAGCGCGCTGAACCCTCTTTTTCTCACGGCTTGAGCCAAAGTCAGCAGCCGGAGGCTTTGTCTGTGCAACTTGGCCACAGATATTCCATGTGCCATAGCACTGCAAGTGAAACACTGCTCAGCCACGTGTTCTCCACAACTGCAAAACAAACTCAAACGTCAGTGGGAGTTCTCGGGACCGACTCAAAACTAGCGCAAGCAGAACTACAGCTACTCAGTCACTCCAAAAGTAGTTACAGCACGGAAAAACACTTCCCTACACTCTCAAGCACTTCAAAAGGCTTTCCACTGAAAGCAAGCTCTCCAGTCAAGCCTCCAAGGCAAAACTTTCAGCTAAAAGACTCACACCTGAGCAGGCATGCAGGACAACCAAAGTAAACATGAACTTTCTTGCGCCAAGCTGAGAGCCGTCCGAGACGCGGTTTCGCGAGTGAATTCAGCATGCATTCTGGTGAGAAACCTCAGCCCCTTTGGGCGAGGGCCGGCCCTACGACCTAGAGAGAGTTGGCTAGCTACGCCCGCCAAACCTCAATCTCTTTGAACGAGGGGAGGCCCTAAACTGTACAGGGCGGGCTCTACCGGGCCCAGGCTTCACAGCCTCAAGGAGTCGTGCCTGTTTTTAGGCGGCATGGCAGCTTGAGCCTCGAGGCTACCGAGCAAAAAACTTGGCAAGAGAGGGGGTACCAGCAGGGCTACAAAAAGCCTGGGCCGGGTCAGACACACTAGAAGGAGTAGAGGGGACCTTTGGAAAGGAAGAACCCGGTGACCCTGGAAACCTCAACCGGAGTGAGGGCAGCAGCAGGCGCATAACCCTCGAGCAAACCCCACGACTCAGGCGGGGGAGGGACAGCCTGGGCAGAAGCAGAAGCAGGAGCCTGGGCCTTGGGGATTGAAGGGGCCTGCCTAAAGAAACTTCTAACCGCGGGGAGAGCGCAAGGTGCAACGAGCTTTTTTGGCGCGACTCCCATGCGAAGGGTCACGTGTCCACTGCACTGGCTGCACTTCCAGGACGGCCCTTGGCGCACAAGTGCGTGCGTGGGATGGACCTCAAAAGGGCACGGAACCGCAGCCGTACGGCACGGGAATGCGATGAGGCGCTCAAAAATGTCCGGCGGGTCGACCTGATAGATACAGAGCGCGCACTCGGAGCATTTAACAACCATGTTAAAGCTCTTTTCCCTAGAAGTGCGAGACCAGACGTGGCTTCCGGGAAGAGGAGGCTCGTCGAGCAAGGCCTGCAACCTCTGCCTCTTGTTGGGCGAGGGAGATGCGGAAGTATCGAGGGCGGATTGAAGGCGGTTCTTCCGCGGGACAAAGTCCTCCTTTTCCGCCTGAGCGAGAAGCGCGGAAGCGCGGCGGCCCAAAAACTCGCAGAGAAGGGAGGTGACACGGCCAACCTCTCTTTGGGCAGCGAGGCGGTGAAGTTTGTCGGCGAGAGTCCCAGAGCATCCCGAAGCGTCGATTTTGAAGCTGCTGGATGTATCAGCGGCTGATAGATCTGTTTGAATGATCAAAAACATAGCATCAGCGGCTGATAGGATTAATCAGCGGCTGATGGAGGTTAACAGCGCCGATTTTGAAGCTGCTGCTCCCGGCAGCGGGCAAAAGGACACTGCGATCCGGAAGCGGGCAAGTCCAATTATCAGCGGGGGTCGAATATGTATAAGTATATACATGGACAATACTTTTTGATATACATATACATACATACATACATACATACATATATGTGTGTGTATATATATATATATATATGTACATGTACATGTACATGTACATGTACATGTACATGTACATGTATGTATGTATGTATGCATGCATGCATGCATGCATGTATGTATGTATGTATGTATGTATATATATGTGTGTAAGCATCTCGGCTGAGTGGCGACTGGAAGTCGCGTGAGACGGGCAAATGCCCGAAGGCTGGTCTGCGAGCAGGCCGAAGCTGGTGCTGGGAGTGCCCTCTCTTCTCTGTTTTGCCCTGTTCGGGTTGTGGTGTAATCAGGGGCCAATTGCGCTTGATCTGGGTTCCTTGAAGGGTTGCACCAGCAAGCCTAGTCTTGAGCCATGGTTGCCATGGACCTTGTTGCAGTCCACGGCTCTAACAAACAGCCAAGAAGACGGCGGTACGAGATTGATGCTCTGGGAAACAGGGTCCGGTCTACGGTCGAACAACAGCTGTTCATTCATGTGTGGCAGCGGCAGTCAATCCGAATCCAGATGGTTCTCAAGCGACGCTGTGATAGACGTTGGGATGATGCTTCGGCTTTCTGCATTTTGTACGAAGCCTGGTTTCTGCTCAGGGATGCACAGCGAATGGCCGTACTATGGGACATCAGCCTTGTGGACCTGGAGTTTTGTGCAGCTATGGTTCCTGTCCTCTGCATACGCCAAGATCCAGGATTGGACCTTATGGATTAAAGCCTCCCGACCCTGGGGGCCCACACTCATCTTCCTGCAGAGAGCCTGGCGGGGAGCCTGGAAGCTCCATGTAGGAGGCCCCGGCCTCTACCTATGCAGCTGGAGGCAGCCGCCTGTCTGATCGGTCCGATTTGCTGTTCAGTGGGCTTTATCCTGTGCGGTTGGGTAGGCTGTGCTGTTTTCAACAAGAGCATGCTCCAATCACAGGCTTCATGGCAACCATGGCGCCCGAGAGTGCACACGTGCCCTGTGCAAGCTTGTCCACATGCTGTGCTACTGTCAGTTGGTTGTTGCTGCTTCTTCCGAGCTGTCAATGCATGCCTGAAGGCTTTTGAGGTTTGGGTAGGGTGCAGCAGCCTCCCGAGTGCGCGGCGGAACATGGAAGCTGCCCCTAAAGCAGGAGAGCGGCAGACCGAAGGCTCCGAATCTGAGGGGACGGAGTTCTTGCTGGAGAGTCCCAGCCTGGATCCACCTCGAGTAAGGCGACCAGACTCCCCACCGAAGGGCCCACCGCCTCCGATCCCGATGCAGCACCAGTATGCGGCCATGAGCTTGTCGGGTCGTCTTTCGAATGCAGTAGCCCAGGCCCAGGCCACAACCCTATGATGGCCCTGACCATCGTGGAGCCAGGGGCTG